TTCACATCACACTCCAATTCACCAGGGTACCCGAGTGCGTGTATCTGAAGTTACTGGGTTCTGAAAAACCAGTCTCTGTCTCCAAGCGCCCGCACTCCCTGAGGCACCCCGGGGCCGGGCGGGCGAGCCGCGCCTCAGCAGAGGCGATGCAGGGCAGGGCGCTCCCTTCGCCGTCAGGGTGCTCGCGAGGTGGGATCCCGCTCCTCGCCGCTACAAAAATGAGGGAGGCTCGGCGGGTGGAAATCGGCCCGTAACTAATAGCAGGCCGAATTTTCACTTGTTTGTTTTTTGTTTGGTTTGTTGTGTTGTTTGTTGGGGCTTTTTTTTGTTTGTTTTTTTGGGTTTTTTTTAAAGAAATCGGGAGAGCGACCCGCATCGTTAATTCACCAGCAAAAGCGGTGTGTAAGTGATGGCTTACGTTCGAAGAGATTTTTCTCTCTGCATAAGAAATGGCCACCTTGTTCTTTAGGGGAGACTAATAAACGTGTCCAAATTCATAATCTAATAAATACATGAGAGTACGTCCGAATGTGATGAAGAAGAAACTGGATCTGATCTGTCCTATAGGGAAATCGTCCGGTAGGGTTTTTCTTTTTTTTTTTTTCCCTTGCTTTGATTTGTACAGTTTTCCCCCTCCCCCTCTGCACACACATACACACGCTCACGCACACATGCTGCAATACACGCTGCATATTGTGTCTGCCTACACAAGTTCTCTACTATAGTTGGAAACCTGTCTCTGAGACGCTTTGTTTTCGCTCAGATACACCATTATATATGCGCCTTTTAAAATCAAATTGACTGCAGTACCTACTTATTCAATTTTCCAGTATTATCTCTTTTTTCAGGAGATTCTCGCCCTAGAATAACTGCGTCTGAACTGAGCACAGCTCAGCACAGCTCCAGGCGGCCGGAGAGCCTCTCTCCCGCCTGGAGGGGCGGGAGCTGCCGTGCGCCCCCGGGGTGCGGCCCCTCGGCCCGCAGGTGTCCTCAGCTCCGCTCCCGCGGCTCGTGCGCCGGGCGCGGGCATCCCGCAGGGCTGCCTCCGCTTCATTTGTTCAACAGCATCATGTGCCCCTCCTGAAGATAGACGGGCTTCGCCGGGGTCGGTGACAGCGGGCTCTCGGCTGATATGAAAACCACGAATTTAGCTGCTGCGGGCTGCCTTTTCCTGTACACCTGGAACGGGGCAGTGCCAAGTCTGATCTTCGCTTGCAGCAGTCACTTGTTTTTGACGAAGGAAAACAAGATTAATATCTCTGAAACGGCCAAATTCTCCCATCATTCGAGAACTGCCCCTTGAAATCTGCTGGGAAATATCCCCAGTGTACTGACCCCTCGCTAGTGGCTCTGTGGAGAGGTGACTTTGTCCACGATTGCTGTAACTTCCAGAGCTGAATAACTGCCCTTCAGCCGCTAGTCCTTTCACATCTTGTACTTTATCTACCGTAGCATTTATACATTCAAAATCTACACAGGGGCTCGTCGAGCCCGAGCCCTCGGGCCCGGCCTCGGGGAGAACCGGTGAGGTCGCTGTCACCCACCCGGGCTGGAAGGAAGAAACCGAGTCCCGGTACACCGGGAAAGAGAATCCTCAGTGAGCTACGGGCTTCCATGGGGCTCTGTGGGGTTGGTAAGGTGGATGGTCACGTTCCCTGGTATAAATTAGCAGAAGTGTATCCTAGTGGTTTATTTATTTTTCCCAGACCAAGGGTGTTATAGAAGACATTCTCTCTAGCTCTTGTTGACAAATAAGTCGTGAGCTACCTGACAGTGTTAGTCCAGTTGTTGCCCATATGTCTAAATACCCTCCTAGAGACGTCAGTGCCGTTGAGGAAGAGAATTCCCTCAAATGAAAACCAGAAGGAAGGTTTTGGGGTTTTTAAATCCTTTTCTTGTCCTCTTCCCCCCCCCCCCCCCCCCCCCCACGTTACACCTGAGGGCAGTAACATACAGGGAAGATTTTCGTAAATTCTATATCACCTTCCCCCACAGCAGCGATCGCTTTACAACATGACAGGGTGTGGGGAAGGGTGCGCTCTGATTCTCTTTTTTTCTTTCTTTCTTTCCTTTTTTTTTTTTTTTCCCCTTACCTTCACTAAATGCCTTGCGTTCGTGTTTGTTTAACGACGAGTCGCTTCGGTAAACAAGACAATCAAAAGAACATTTGAGACTACGTGGATACATTTCTCTGATGCTTGTAGACTCCTGGACACCCAGAGGAGTTGTTGAATGCCTCTCTTTCCGTCTTTCCTTTATTTACCCAAATGAACTCAGGGAAAGCTTTTAACCGAGGGGAGATTTAAGGTGATAAGCAGCGAACAGACGGTCTGCGCTGCAAGCCTGCGTTTCGAACTGCAGCCGGCCAAGGAGCAAAAGGGATGAGATGCATCAAAGGCTAATTTTTTTTTCTTTTTTTTTTTTTTTTTTTTTTGGCTGATGTTTGTCTTTAGAAGAGTGAGCCCGTTTCTTCTTCCTCGAAATACTCCGACTGTTGCTTTCCAGTGCAATCTCATTTTAAACACTTATTTTAGTCGAAATCTCGCACCGACTGGTTTGTCAATTATGTCAGGGTTTTGAGAGTCCGCTACGATTTTAGGAATGACTCTACAACCCTTCTCCCACCACTCCAGGCACTCTCTCTCTGCTCTATCTACTCTGCTCAGGAGCTAGCAGTTTTAGGAGCAGCGTCAGGTTTTTAGGGTTATTTTCCCCAGGGGACAAACGAGATTAGGAATAGTCCCGCTCCCCGGGAAAAAAAAGACCCCACGTCCACTTTGCAGGCAGTTTTAAAGCAGCTGTCTCCTAATGTAGGAGGATTTGGGTTTGGGTTTTCCCTTTCCTTTTTTTTTTTTTTTTTTCCCTCTTCACTTTTCGTGGAATTGTCTATTATTTCGGTTTGGTTTGGCTTTTTTTCCAGCGTGTATCAAGAAAATTAATTAAAATCTTTCTCCATCCTTCTCCCCTCCGCCGCGGGACCCGATTCACGCTGTCCCGCAGCGCATCAGCCCAGGGGAAAACCGTACATGGTTAAAGTTGGGGGTGTCAGGGAGGGGGGCAGCAGGGGACGTGACCGCAGCTTTTTTCTCCCAAGCGCGACCACTTGCTTGGTGGGCTTTGGGGTGGGGAAATGCGCGTGGGTGTGTAAAACTGCGGCGATCCTCACCGTCCGCAGTCCTGCGGGATCTCGGCTGCTCACCCCCGCTGCCCTGCGGAGAGGCGATGGCCAAAATGTCCCCACCTCAAGGCAAAAAATCCCCCGACAGGTACGCGGGGAGAAGAGATGTGTGTGTGTGCGTGTGCCCGTGGGGGTCTGTGTGTCCCCCCTCCCCCCGGCGGCGCCGCCAGGTCAGAGGGCGGACACAGGGAAAGAGGGGAGGCGGGAGAGGGGTGGGAATGTGTCCGCGTGACGCCACCGCCCCCTCCGCCAGTGGGAGGCCGGGCGAGGGGCGGCTGCGGCCAACGGGACGCGAGGCGGGTCCGTGAGTGGCATTAAGGGCGGGCTCGGCCGCCTGGGAGGGAGGGGGGCCAAGGGGGGAGTTGGAGAGAAATGAAGTTGTGCTAAAAGGCTTTTAGCCATCAAGAAGTTATTAGGCATTTCTCAGCCGCAAATTAGGGATTCTTCATTAATACCAACCTCGCCCCCCCACCCCACCCTACCCCACCCCTCGATATGTGAGACGGAGAGCCTGGGAGCCGATAAAGGGGATGGGGAGGCGGCAATGTCTGTCTGCCCATCGGTGCGAGGAGCAGTGACAGGCGCAAACTTTTCCCCGTGCCATTAATGAGCCAATTAAAGAGTTGGGCTCCTCACCCCGGGAGAGCTCTCTGCAGGCTGCCGGGCTCAGGGATTCAAGGTAGGTGAAAAGAAGATCACAACCCACCACAATCTGCCAGCCTCAGCGAAGAACCGCAGTGATGTGCGGTGCTAGGCTGCGGGTCGCTTCCCCACGGTGAAAAATGAGGAGGAAAAAAAGAAAGAAAGAAAAAAAAAAGAGAGATAATTTGGTTGGAAAAATGTGATGTTTGGGTGGATTCCGGCTCGGGGCAGGGCTGGGCAAAGCGTGCCTCCCCTGGCTGGGGTGCAGCTGAGGTAGACACCCCCGATCCCAGCTGAGGAATGAGGACAGTAGCCGAGAAGAGGAGAAATTCAAAAGAAAGAAAGAGAAAAAAAAAAAAGAAAAAAAAAAAGGGAAAACAAGCAGAAATACTGCGTGATTGGAAATGAGTCCTTCACTGAGGGTCTGGCAGCGCGGATCGAGGGGAGGTCTGGCCGCCGCCGCGGTGCCGGCCCGCGGGAGCGCGAAGGGGACGCGCAGCCCCGGCAGCGCCAAAGCCGCGAACGCCGGGAGCCGGGGCCGCGTTCTGCTGCGCTTTCGTTCTGGCCATGCAGCGCACACCTGGGCTGGGAACTGAGAGGGCTGTGGGAGGAGAGTGCGGGGCAGGCTTCTCTACGGGCGCGCTAGATGGGAAAATACACTTTTTTTTTTCTCTTTCCCCTCTGGTGGGAGAAAATACTACACCCGCCGGCGGCTGGTTGTTGATTATTATTTCTCGCGGCTCCGCTGCGGCGCCGTGTACCGGCTCTCTCACTCCAGGACTGCTCTTGTCTTCACAGAAAGAGGCTCCGGCGGAGTCACCCAGCGTCCTGGGAGGCAGCCCGCGGCCGTGCGTTTCTTCGGCCCTCGGATTGACAACGAATCACGGGAAAAAACGGGATTACTATGACCCTCTTCCGAGGAGCTATGCTGCCCGCCATGAGTAGGAAAAAAGGCCAGAAATACATCGTTTGGTTGCTGCCTGATGCCTCAATTTTCTAGCTTTTTTTTTTTTTTTTTTTTTTTTTTAATGCAGTTGTTTGGAGTGCTGAGCTGCATTGGATAAATGCCTTTCCCATCTAATTGACTCTGCTTTTCAGAGTATATTTACTTTTTTTTCTTTTTCTTTTTTCTTTTTCTTTTTTTTTTTAAGAACACCTCACTCTTCAATGCTTGTTTGCATTTACACAACAGAACGGTTTTCTGAGTAATGGCCGCGCTCAGAATCACCGCCTGATGCTCCGGAGAGATGAATTGCAGATGAGTTTCCCTTCCACCTTTGGATGAATCTCTGGAGTTTAAATTGTAGCAAGGAAGCGGGAAAAAAACACGATGAAAGAGAAGTCCAAAAATGCTGCCCGGACTAGACGGGAGAAAGAAAACAGTGAATTTTATGAACTGGCTAAATTACTACCCCTGCCCTCCGCTATCACCTCTCAGCTGGACAAAGCATCCATAATCAGACTCACTACCAGCTATTTAAAAATGAGAGTGGTTTTTCCAGAAGGTAGGTGGGAATGCCTATTCGCTATTCGCCTCTATTTTCGTTCTGATCCAGATGTCATTTATCACTTGTACTGAAGAGGTCAATCTTTCGGTGTGTGCTCGGAGACAGGGTGCCCTCCGCTGTCACTTTCCTCTGTTGTAAATACTTTCCCTTTTAACTCCTATGACAGGTTTGGTTGGAGACTTATGGTGCTTTTGTCAACACTTGAAGGCACTGAGCCCTGCTGCATGTTCTGCTAAAGCAAACCCGGGTTTTCTTTTCCCTTCAGTCTTTCAGTCAAATGTTCATCCCCCCACCAAGCACACGCGAGGCCTAAGAGGGCATGATTCACCCCTGTTTATAGTAATTCTGTGAGGGCCAGTTAGTATATGGGTAAATATTTACATAAGTCTATGCAAAGTCCTAAAGCCTTAGTTCAGCTCTCGAGGAAAGGTGCGGTGTACAGGTACAGGACACGCTTGCAGGCGTGCTCACACCCAGGCTAAATAAACAAGTCTAGCACACTGAATCGCATCGTGTGTGCGGGTGTGTTGTGTCCCGTTCTGAGGGTCACTAGGGCACTTTGAGGGCGTTAATCGACCTCGGAAAATTTTAGCAGGAGTTTTGCACCCAGACATATTCAATGCCCCTGACCACCCAGCGCTGCAAAAGCAGTGGGCCAGACTAGACATGACTCTCCTCGACAGGCAGCAGTAAACTTCACGTTGACTTCCACGGCAGCAGCAATCCGCCTGTCTAGCAAAAGAAAACTTAAGCGTCCTGAAGTATCCCTTGCTTTTAAATAGTATCAGGATCTAAAGCTATCGTCTTTGGTCTTCTAGATCGGCTGCCAAGAAAAACAAACAGTACAAAGTTAAGAGAGTCAGAATAAAGTTCTTCCATGTTCTCACTCTATTGATTTTACAAGACATAGGGGAATTTAAAAAAAAAAAAAATCACAGAACTTTTATTTAAATCAACTCGATGGAGTTGTGGTCTGTGTGAAACAAAAGGTATCAAGAGGTTTTTGTTTTTTTTGTTTTGTTTTGTTTTTCCCTGACCTAGTACAAAATTCGCTGCATCATTTGTTGAAAAGTGAGTGTACATAGGAAACAAGGTAATACAGCTATGTCCCCATGAGTTTTCTGTAGCTGTATCTCGACTCAGTTGGTCTATATTTTTTGCTAATTCAGAGAGTGTATATGGCCTAGTTTTGTTTTGCTGTAGTTTTGTCTGATTTGGTGGTTTGAGGGGTTTTATTTTTTTTTCCCGGTTAAATGTGTGGACTACTGGTACTAATTCTACTTTTTAAAATAAATATGTAATGTGGCAGTCATTTGGACGGGGGAGGTAATCTCACAGCCCACTCCCCACCCCAGGTTAAGGATGAACGTTTATACCTAAAATCCACGGCAGTAATTTTCAATCCAGTGCATTTTACAATTATTTCTTGAAACAACTTTCCATATCATCGAGTCACTTGTAACCAAAGAAGGGGTTAAATGAAACCTTTAAAATAATAATTAAAGTCCTCATCAAGCCACTTTCTTCTTCTATTTGCTCTGCCACCTTGAAGATCATTATGCGGGAAAATCCTCTGTTTCAAAGGAGACGGAGTTGTCCTTTATGCTGTCAGCGCATACTTTATAAAAATAAAGCTATTGCAAACCCTGATGCCCATGATGTTCCTAAAAGGATTATTAGCAATGATTTGTCAACTCCTGCGGTCTCAGTAGGCTACCTTTCTGCGTGATTTCGAGCAGGTCTCGTCAATTACTGCTGCCTATGTAGCGGGTTGTTTGATCAGAAGAAGCATATGGTGTTGCTTGTAGGCTGTGAGTAATCATGGGAAGAGAAGAATAGCTGATCCCCGTCCCTCGGTGGCAGCGCGGGATGCCTGAATGCCCTGGGGAACCGTGTGGCGAGGCGCGCCGGGGCCGGGGCCGCTGCCGGCCGCAGCAGATGCTAATTTGAGTGCGGAGGCAGCGGGGGCGGCTGAGCGGGGCTCGGGGGCAGCGGAGCCCTCGCAGCCTCATTAAAGGCGAACTGCGCGTTGGAAAGAAAGGCAGGGAGCAGGCTCGGAAGGGCTCGTCCCGCCGGGGCGCTGCCGCGGGAGGCCCGGGCCCGAGCGGGCTGCAGACCCACGCGAGACCGCCGGCCGCGCATCCCCGGGGCCGCGCATCCCTGCGCGGGGCCGCGGCCGGGGCCGCGCTGCCAGCGGGGCGCAAAGGCCCGAGAGCGTGAGTCGCAACGTGGCATGGAGCCGGGAGGCTTCCCCGCGGTCCCACGCGGGCTCCCTCTCCCTCCCATGCACTTCCGAGGAGGCGGGGAGCGGGAGCGGGCCCGGCTCGGCCCCGGCCCCGGCCCCGCGGGTTTCCGTGCGCCCGCCCGAGCCGCTGTTAAACACGAGCGAGGCGCCCACGAGCGGCCTCCGGCGCCGCGCCTGTGCCCGGCCGTGCGGGAGCCGAGCCCGGGGGATTTTTCCCGGGACCCCGGGGGACGCAGTGGATTCCGGGAACGCGGCGGAACAGCTCGGGCTGGAGTTGCGGGTGTGCTTGTACTTGTCAGGCTGCGTATGAATGTAGGGAGGCAAGGAAGAGGGGGGCTATTTTGGTTTTTCAGTGCTCCCACCCACGAAATAAAGAAAAAAAGAAGTCACAGCTTCTCTGGGTAAGCAGAACAGGTAGTGGCAGCCGGGGAAATGACGCACGGAAAGGACAAGTCTTTGCGAACGGAGGAGGCAGGGCAGGGATGTTGGATGCATGTACTGGGGTTCCTTTCTCTTGTATTTCCCTGGGGAGGAAAGCGATACATGCATAGGGACAAACCCGATGAGTTGGCCAAAACACTGGAGATGGGTAGTAGGAGGCTCGGAAGCCCGGCGGAATGTCATGCACATTTAAAGAGATCTTGGAGGAGTCAGGGTAAAGAAACGTTGTCTCCGTAAGAGCGAGCTGCACTTCCAGAGTAACTCATATCCCCTCTCCCCGGTACAAGAGCGAATTTCCATCTGCCCATAGAGTGCTTGCATGGAGGTGGTTGTAAATAACCACGTACAGAAAGATATACACTCCTCATCGCCGCGCACACGCGGGGCTGGGGACAGGGCGGAGAGAATTGGTGTGCGCTTGTCTGCATATTTTTGTGTCTGAAAGGTCTCTATAGAGAAGGAAGGTGGGTGGATTTCGGGTTCATTTTGAAAACAAGAGTTTTCTGGGAGTGAAACGCCAGGAGAGTCACACACAAAATAAGCACGCGGGGTTCCTTCTTACCTCCAGACATCTAAACACAAGGCAGTGGCACTGAACAAACTTGACAAACCGGGCAGAAATTTTTCTACGGGCTCTCTCTCGTAATGGTTGTGCAATTCTCACAAGTTATTGAAACGCGAGGGTTGTTCTTCCTACCCCTAATTTCGCTTCATTAGGTCTTCAGCAGATTAAAACTGCCGAGGACGAATGTGCAAGACGTAGGTGTCTTGCATCGTTTCTGTACTAAAACACTTCTCTTCAGGAGGAGAAAACGTATAAGACCTATACTGCTTTTTGGTGATCAGACAGCTTTGGAAAGAGTGAATATCTGCTAATTTTCTGAGAACATTAAGGAAGAGTTTTAAGGGTGGTTTGTTTGTTTTTTCAAGCAGAATTAATTAATTAATTAACTCCTGATTTAACGTTCAGTATAAATAAATACTAATATTTTAATTTAACAGTAAATCGGTAATGGTAAGTAATGTGGACATAAAAAAAATAAGTAGAAAAATCTCCAGGGCGTCAAAGGACTAAAAGAATTTTCTGCAAAAATAATGCGATCGCTGTTACTATAGCGGGGTAATTCTTCACTGATCTTCAGCAGTATCCAGAAGGGAAGGGAGAAAAAAATATTAATAAAACCCAAACAAAAAAAACAGGTGGTACAATAAATAATTTTTTGTTTGGGTTTTGTCTTTATTTTTTAGTTAAGAATATTTTAAAGGCCCTATTCTCCATCCGCGACCAGTGATGCAAAAGGAGGGTTTGCAGTTTGTCCTAGTGGGAAGGGATCGTTTTGGTGCAGAGGCGTTTGCTTTTCGAGACAAAAGCAGACTCCGTTTACATAAACTTTCGCCGAATCAGGATGGTTAACATTTCAATATTGAAACCCTTAACCTTGTTTTATTTTAAAGGGGGAAGAGATCAACAGGAAAAAAAAAAATCCGTTTCCCACGTGGATAGGTGATTTAATGCTGTTTTTCTTGCTGCAAAGGGAAATGATTGAGCATTAGGTTTCAATGTTTATTTTCTTACAGAAGTTTTTCTCATTTAAGCAGCAGTTTACTCTCCACGCTGAATCTCGGTTTAATTCCAGTTTTGATGTGAACTTAAAATGTGAAGAGCAGAACTAAACTACTAGCAGGATCGTTGAAAAAAAACCCCACAGATTTATGTTTTAGAATGAATACTTAATGAGAAGAGAGGGGAAAAATCATATTTCCTTTGGAAACATACGACCGTTTTCACGTTGGACAATATTTTTCAACTTGCATATAAACCGCGTATGCATTGGTGCAAATCCTTCCTTCCCCTATTTCTTTGAAATAAGGGCTACTTGAATTTGAGTCTTCTGGAGAAACGAATAAGTAGTTGGTGCTTTTCCCCCCTCTCTCCAATTTGGACATGGTTCCATTTGTTTGCATTTCAAAGCGCAATTCCGCTACCTCGTGTTTGCCAAAATTCTGGTTTTTCTTTTTATAGTGAAACAGCCTCGGCATTATTTCCACTACCATTTTCTTAACAGGGATGTTTGTTTAGTTAACAGGGCTTTTCCTCCTGCTATTATTATTTTTATAAATAAATAAGGATGCTAATTTATCTCTACTTCAAATGAATACGTGATTTACCGAGATAATAAATCTTTACAAAACCTTGCTAATGGCATCCGCAGGCAGTGGAAATGAGCAGCTTTTTTTTTTTTTTTTTTTTTTTTTTTTTTTTTTTTTAAGCATAGCTTATTCTATTCCATCTGAACCCTCCGACGGCGAC